TTTTGGGGAACTATACCGAACTTGCACACGAAAATCACTCACTACGAAAGCAAAAGACTTGGCAGACGATGCACCATCCCCCCAATGAAAAGCAGGGGTGTCACTAGCACGTTAAGAGACCATACAATAAGTGTCAGGGGCCCGAGACTGTTCAACTGCCTCCCAGCATACGTAAGGGGGATTACCAACAGACCCCTGGCAGTCTTCAAGCTGGCACTGGATAAGCACCTAAAGTCAGTTCCTGATCAGCCCGGCTGTGGCTCGTACGTTGGTTTGCGTGCAGCCAGCAGCAACAGCCTGGTTGATCAGGCTCTGATCCACCAGGAGGCCTGGTCACAGACCGGGCCGCGGGGGCGTTGACCCCCGGAACTCTCTCCAGGTAAACTCGAGTATGTCGACTTTAACACAGTATGTCGGGTTTAACACAGCATCTCGGGTTTAACGCAGCATCTCGGGTTTAACATAACATCTCGGGTTTAACACAGCACCTCGGGTTTAACACAGCATGTCGGGTTTAACACTGTGTCGGGTTTAACACAGCATGTCGGGTTTAACACAGCATGTCGGGTTTAACACAGCATGTCGGGTTTAACACAGCATGTCGGGTTTAACGCATGTCGGGTTTAACACAGCATGTCGGGTTTAACACAGCATGTCGGGTTTAACACAGCATGTCGGGTTTAACACAGCATGTCGGGTTTAACACAGCATGTCGGGTTTAACACAGTATGTCGGGTTTAACACAGTATGTTGGGTTTAACACAGCATGTCGGGTTTAACACAGCATGTCGGGTTTAATGCAGCATCTCGGTTTTAACGCATCATGTCGGGTTTAACACAGCATCTCGGGTTTAACACAGCATGTCGGGTTTAACACAGCATGTCGGGTTTAACGCAGCATGTCGGGTTTAACACAGCCTGTCGAGTTTAACACAGCATCTCGGGTTTAACACAGCATGTCGGGTTTAAAACAGCATCTCGGGTTTAACACAGCATCTCGGGTTTAACACAGCATCTCGGGTTTAACACAGCATCTCGGGATGTCGGGTTTAACACAGCATGTTGGGTTTAACACAGTATCTCGGGTTTAACACAGCATGTCGGGTTTAACGCAGCATGTCGGGTTTAACACAGCCTGTCGGGTTTAAACACAGCATCTCGGGTTTAACACAGCATGTCGGGTTTAAAACAGCATCTCGGGTTTAACACAGAATCTCGGGTTTAACACAGAATCTCGGGTTTAACACAGCATCTCGGGTTTAACACAGCATCTCGGGTTTAACACAGCATCTCGGGTTTAACACAGCATCTCGGGTTTAACATAGTATCTCGGGTTTAACACAGCATCTCGGGTTTAACACAGCATCTCGGGTTTAACACAGCATCTCGGGTTTAACATAGCATCTTAGCAACATTTGTAAGACAGGTCGACAAAAGTTCTCACCTGTAGGTGAGGTAGATGCAACATTTGCAAGAGAGGTAGACAGAAGTTCTCACCTGTAGGTGAGGTAGACGCAGCACCAGGTCGCCGGGAGAGAACGTTGGTGTTGTGGCTCGTAAAACACTACAGCGAACTCCATCTGGAAGATAAGTTTTGTCATAATTATGAACCACTGATATGAGAGTTAACAACACTGTCTTCAGGATAACAATGATAACAGTGACGTGAGGGTAACACTGGTGACTGTGACGTGAGGGTAACACTGGTGACTGTGACGTGAGGGTAACACTGGTGACTGTGACGTGAGGGTAACACTGGTGACTGTGACGTGAGGGTAACACTGGTGACTGTGACGTGAGGGTAACACTGGTGACTGTGACGTGAGGGTAACACTGGTGACTGTGACGTGAGGGTAACACTGGGGACTGTGACGTAGTGTAACACTGGTGACTGTGACGTGAGGGGAACACGTGACTGTGACGTGAGGGTAACACTGGTGACTGTGACGTG